ATGCTAGATGGATGGACTCTACTTGGGAGGTCATGGGTATGAGTTTGCAGGACCTGAGCAGAGAAGTTGAGGACAAGGGGTCTTGGAGATGTCTCATCCATGGGGTGGCCATGAGTCAAAGTCAACCTAAGGACAGTCAACAACAACAAAATCCCTGAAGGAATGTCTCTCTGCGTCCTCTGTCCTCAGTTCCAACCGAAGAGTGCTTATGCTACATATATCCGAAATCTAGATAACACTCCAGGCATCTGTCGAAGTAGCGCACAAAAGTTGACCTTATAGTACCTTGGTTGGTCTTTAAGGGACCACAAGACTGTTTCTTTGTGTGCGTAATCTGGATGCTTAGCTTCTTAAACTGAAGGTTGTTACCCTGAGACAAGAAGTCTGCCTTTGCAGGCGTCTTTTTCGCAGACTTGTCTCCAGTAAACCAGAGTTGGCCGTTTTCACCGTTGAAACTTTGAACTCCAGCAGACGGAGATAAGGAGACTTGGCTCTCCATTTGTACAGTCACTTTATCCTGGGGTGAAGGCACGGTGAGTCAACATCTCTCTGATCTGGCCAGAAATTGATGCCGCTCTTTCGGGATTGCATTGTCTTGTAATGTCTGGGTTCAGATGTTTGTTTGGTGAGGAAAATCCAAATGCAATCCAAACCTATCCAAATGCAATCCCTCATTGTGGCAGACACAAAAACACTCTTATTTTCACTGGGAGGAGGAGGAGGAGCTCCATGTCTTCTGGGCCAGGCATCCCAGGTGCGCTCACCAGCATCTCTGCAATGGAAAGGCTCAGGTAGCAGGCTATTATGGAATAGTCTCTTCTCTGTTAAGACAACAGAGAACCCCCAGCAGTTGTAGTAGAGGATAATAAGCTGGTTGTAACAGGTAATAAATTGTAAACTATCTGCCAGGAGAAAAGAGAAGGGAGAGTGGTGTTGTTGTTGTGGTTGTGTGCCTTCCACTTGTTTCCAGTTTATGGTGACCCCAAGATCTCTCATGGGGATTTCTTGGAAAGAGTCCATCCATCTAGCATGCGGTCTTCCTCTCTTTCTATATCCCTCCATCTTTCCTAGCATTATTGTCTTTTCCAATGAGTCGTGCCTTTTCGTGATGTGACCAAAGTACAATAGCCCCAACTTTATCATCTTGGTTTCAGGAAGATTTCTGGCTTGATCTTTTCCAGGACCCATTTGTTTGTCTTTTTGGCCGTCCATGGCATCCTCCGCACTCTTCTCCAGCACCACTTCTCAAATAAATTGATTTTCTTCCTATCTTCTTTCTTCACTGCCCAGCTCTTGCATCCATCCATAGCAATAGGGAATATGATGGCTTGTATGATTCTAACTTTTGTGTTCAGTTGTATATCTTTTTGCATTTTAGGATCTTTTCCAGTTCTTTCATAGCTGCCCTCCCCATTCCTTCTCTTCTTCTGATTTCTTGACTGCAGTCCTCAATCTGATCAGTGCCTGACCCAAAGTATAGGAACTCTTTTAATATTTCTATTTCCTCGTTGTCTAAGTTGAATTTGTGTAAATTCTCTGTGGTCATTATTTTTTTGTTTTCTTTACGTCCAACAGTAAGTCTGCCTTTGTGATTTCTTCCTTGATCTTCCTTGGTAGTTTCCTTACGGTCCAAAACACTGCAGAAATAATCCACTTTGAGACTGCCTTGACTGTCCTGGCTCAGTGCTAGCGAATCCTGGGAATTGCAGTTTATTGTGGCACTAGAGCTCTCTGATTGAGAAGGCTAAATGTGTCACAAGACTACAGTTCCCAGAATTCCCTAGCATTGAGACAGGGCAGTCAAAAGCAGTCTCAAACTGGATCATGTCCACATTGTGATGTTTTGTGCTAATAGTGTGGTGTTGTCTGCATACCTTAGATTGCTGCTATTTCTTCCTCCTATTTTGACTCCTGTTTCTTCTGTGTCTAAGCCTACTTTTCGCATAATAGGTTATGCATACAATAATATAGACACAGAAGAACATTTCTACAAATATGGTATTTCTACAAATAAAGTGATTTCTTCTTATGGGGAGGGTCAGGACCTCAGGCTGTTCCCACTCTGTCCAGCAGAGGGCAGCGCTTGCAATCCCTTCCTTCCAATGCGGAGCAAAAAGCCTTTTGTTTGCTTGCAAAGAATTGCACCGGGAGAAAGAATGATAATTAGTAATTAATAATTAATAATAATAATTAAATAAACATTTCGGTGCCCCAACAAGGAAGACTTGCACCTCCAATCCCTTTCTCCTTTCCCACCTAGTACAAATTGATGCACCACCTAGAAAAAGAGAAAGAAAGAAAAAAGCCAAGGATGGCACTTTTT